CCGCACAAAACCAAACACCTGCTCCTGCTGGTTCCTGCGCCTGGTGGGTCTGAGGTATTCCAGGGCACTGCTGATGACAGCACAGCCAACCTGGCTCATCATCAGGACCTGGAAGGGCAGACCAGTCACTGGGGGCAGGGAGTCATCCCACTCAGCTCCTGTTAACTTTGTAAGCCAAAGCCCTAATGGGTATGTGGTCCTAGCTGGACAAGCAACCAAAAGCTTGCCAAAGAGCAATATCGATAGCAAGCTAAGCGGTTTTAGTAGGTTAGATTCCAGCAATACTCCAACACATACTCTGAGACCCCAAACTTTGGCTCTTGCCAACCTGCTCCTGATACTTTCAGGAATTAAGTAAGCAGAACGCGTCCCCCCAAAGAGTGAATGGGCATTTCGACCACAAGGTGGCAGTATGTTTCCAATCTTCACACCAATATTCTGTGAGAAGTGTGGTTTGAAGTTTGTTGTAAAAATAATTGTTCAGTATTTTGCCTGCATTGGCAATTATGTCTTCAAGCATCTCAAAGCACCTAAAGGAATTTCTGTAAAGTGTGTAGTGTCTGCGTATTTTGCAGAGGGCAGCACACAGCAGTGTCCCACAAACAGCCACGGAGTGAGTGATCAATTTTATCTGGAGATTCATTGGGCAGGACACCGGGAGTGAGAGAGAAACTCCGTTCTCTTTCCGAATAGGGCCATGGGATCTTTAACCTCCACCTGAACAGGATCTCGGCAGACCTCGGTTTAACATCTCTTCTAAAAGGTGACATCTCCAACAATACAACATGTACCACAGCAAGCAAGTGTGTTCAAAATCATGATGTGGGGCTTGAACCCTCAATCACTACCCTGCATGAAGAGGATGATATCAATGCAATTGTTTTGACTTGGAAGCGAGAGTGCTACCAACTGAACCAGGCTAACATTCTATCAAGGTTTGCACACTAAACTACTAAGTAAGTAGTCTAAGTCTAAAACCAGGTGGGATATCTGGGGCTTGAATGCTGGACTCATGTAAAAACAGTTTGATGTATAGGAAGTTGGTGAGGTTGCTATATCTGAAACTCTCTTGTGATCTTGAGAACGGATATTGTTCTTACTCATACTGATGTATTGACAAGTAATATGTTTCTATAAACTGTCACTGTCATAAAATGTCCTACTAGAATAACATTTATTATATTGGTGCATAATTACGTAGAACATCACTGCACAGAAACAGCCTATTCGGCCCAACTAGTCTTTGGTGGGGTTTATACCTCAAACAACAACCTCAACCTCTCTATTCCTCTCTCCCTCACATATATATCAAGCTTCCTCTTAACCTGTTGATTCCTCTTTGCTTCAACCGCAGATCTTGGCAGTGAGTTTCACATTCCTCCCCCCTTCCCCCTACAAATACGTCCCTCTTAAACTCACTTTTATATATGAAATTGGTGTTCGACTAATAAGAAGGGTGTCATTTGTTTAATGTGACCTGAAGGAACAGATATATTATTGGGGATTGAAATTCTTCTAGCTCCTATACTGATAATTCTGTAACCTGAAGCTTTAACAGGTAGAGTGGCCAAAGCCAGACAGGCAAGTGGTCCTAGCCTGACAAGTGGTTCTTATTATTAGAACAGGGTATTATTATTAACAACTCGTCTGAAAGAAAGCACCTTTGACAATTCGGCCCTCAACCAGTGGTGCACAGGATAGTCAGCCTAGGCTATTATTTTTGATCAGCCGGGTGTCTGACATATGTGGAAACCCATTGCATTGCTCAAGAGTATGCAAACCCAACTAAGAATTCCATGAATCCCAGCTATACATGGAAATTCCAGGGCTAGATTATTGGAATGGAAGGGCCACTCTCATCCAAGAAGGACTCATCCTGTTTTACCTAATTCCAGAAAATATTAGGCATGGATTGACAAAAACAAGGCTTGGAGACCCCTGAGTGTGCTTTGGGGTCCTGCTGGAGTCCAACCAGCTAAAACCGCATAAACTGGTAGTCAGCCTAGAATATGAGCTCAAGTTTTAATGTGATCCAGAGGCTTGCCTGTGCCAAGCGATTACAGAGGACTATAACAATAATAATAATTATAATATAATAATAATCTTGCATTTGATATAATGTCTTTCAAGTCCTTGCACATTCACAGGATAGATCATAAAGTGCAGTGACCATGAATTTTGCCAGCAAATGCTAATTTGCATACAGCAATGCCCCACAAACAGGCACGCAGTGAATGACCAACGTTATTTGGGGGATTGTTATAACAATAATAAATCGCCAGGCTGGAGTGGGGGGGNTGAGAGGGGGGTGTAGAGAGTGGACTTCCTTCTCTTTTCAAGTTAGTATAGTAATAAGACAGTGCCTGACAAATAGTTATTGTTTTCCCTGGCTTTGCCCTGTGCCATTTGCCTGGGAGCATAGAAAGTCTGATTTAAACAATAATAATAATAATAATTTATTATTATTTATTATAATTATTTATTATTATTATCATTTAAACTTGTTTTATTAATATTAATCCTTGCATTTTATATAGCGCCTTATCACATTGTTGAGACGCCTTTTAAAAAAACAGGGTTTGGCTTTAACAAGCTTTACCACAGCATCAGAGACGTGTGAAAACGGTCGTACTAAATTTCCTCTGAATGTAGATCACAATCAGAAAGACAGATTGCAGTTTGATCTCTATGTCCATTGCTATCGAGGCTGAATCCGGCCAATAATAATAATAATAATAATCCTTGCATTTGATATAGCGCTTTTCACGTCGGGAGGACGTCCCAACCCCTTCCTTCTCCCCCCTCAGGCCAGTCTCATACCATTCCACACTCCACACTCCAGCTTTAAGTTATTCAATTCTGTGTACGTTCACTTCCTGCTCATGGAGCCTTCTTGCTCAATGTTGCAGAAGAGAATTTTTTCCTCTTGTGGGTGGATTGCTCCTTACGCACGTTTTTAAAAGCAAGATAGAAGTGGGATGAGTTTTCTTTGTAAGAAAAATTAACGATTGCTTGTTTGAATCACATATTTTTGGCCCCCTTCCCAGACATAGCTCCCTATGCTTTATGTCATAATTCCCAAGTGGAAACAGGTCAATTTACGCACAAAACATTTTTGTCAGCGTGGGGTATTTGCTTTCATACATTTGCGAAAAAAAGAGTGCCAGGGTGGGGGGTGGGGGAGAGCTGCTAATGACAATTGATAGAATTGTCAGAGAGAAACTGATGGGACTTCACAGAGAATAAAAGTGACCTTTAAGCATAATCAGCATTTTTCATTATTCATTATTAATAACTAACATGAATTCCTTACATTTCTAATACAGACTCAGTAAAGGAGGTCAGGAAGGAGGTAACTTTTAGAGAGTCTTTAAGATGAAGGGTATGGGAAGCAATGAACAAATGATGATGATAAAAATCATGTAAATAATAATAATCCTTACATTTGATATAGCTCCTTTCACAACAACAACAACAAGATTCCATTTATAAAGCGCCTTTCACATCAGGAGGATGTCCCAAACCGCTTCACAGGGTATACATATATATACAAAATTCACAGAATATGTGAAAAATTTTGAGATTTTTCAATAATGTGATAAACCGCCATATCAAATGCGTAGATTATTATTATACAATGTAATAATCACCTTGTTCAACTCATCTTGTTCTTAACTAATGATCATACATGTACAATTCCAGCAATGAAAAGGGACTAGGAAATTGCTTAGGAAACAACATGTGTATAAATTGCCTGCACACTAATGAACCCTGGAGCATTTTCTCTTTTTAACTGGTGGCAATGAGCCAATTGTAAAAATTTACATGATAAGGCGCTATATCAAATTCAAGGATTATTATTATTATTATATTATTATTATCACTGCCTTCCTCTCAGATCAGCTAACAGCACAGCACCATCCATGGAACTGGTCTGTATGGCTCCGACTGGGTAAAACTCATTGCAAAGCTGGGCAAAGATGTGTCCTTTTTTATCGACATTAGTATCAACGGGACCAAAACATAAATTTATTCAGTCTTTTGCGTGTTTTAAACAAAACTGTAGCAAAATAAGTTTGAACTGCTTAGGAAACCAACATGTGTATAAATGGCATGCAAGCCGATATGCTATTTCCTGGTGATATCAGAAATAAACTAAGCAGGCAAATAGCCAGCGATCCTAACAATACTAACACCTAGAACAACTTGCATTAATGCTTAACAGTGGCGAGCTTGACTCGGAGCCGGGGAGAGGTGGAGATAACCACAGGCGCAGTCGCAGACCAGGAGGGGCCTGGCGGTGTGATTGAGGCAGAGTTCCAACTAAATACTAAATTATTTAGGGCACAAAATCATATCCATCTGCAATGTGATTTAATCAATTGTTTTAACAAACACTCATGTTTTAATGGAAACATATTCAACTCTTCGCTAAAGAGCTTAATAAAACCTCGACTGCAAATCCAGTAGATATTCTATCCTTTTAATTACATTTTACATTTGTCCATCCCTTTCATTACAAATTACTTTAAGTCCGACAATTTTGGAGTCCTGCAGTGTAGTGGATAGTGCACTCGCCTCGCAAGCGAGAGGACCCGGGTTCAATTCCCACGTAGGGTGAAACTTCAGGCAGGTTTCCTTACTCCGCTCACCCGTTCTTATCGAGCAGTAAGTGGGGACCTGGTTGTTAGTCAATTAGCGGAATCCTTAGGCGTAATAACCCCCCCCCCACACACACCCAAAAAAAAATTTTAAATTCAAATTTGGTCAGTCAATTCCACGACTGTTGGTGAGATGCCGCTGTGTGCGATTGGCTGCCACTTCTCAGCAATGTGATCACTGTATCAAATGCAGGGATTATTATTAATAATAATAATTGTCTTCCAGCCAAGGGATAGATAGCATCGATTAAAGAAAGCAAGTGACTGCAGCCAGTGACGCCCCACACGCCCCCACACTGGGTGAGTCACAGCTGAATGCTGAACTGCATAAAGCAGGGGCTTTGGGAACCAGCAGAGGCAGAAGCTGAGTTGAAGTGGATCGCAGTGCAAGTCACAGAGAAGTTCTTCCACAAGTCGAAAGAAACAAAAGCAGACGCAGATTCCAGACGCTCAACCATGTATTTAGCAGCCTCTCTCTTCCTGGCTGCTCTACTCTCAGTGAATCAAGCAGGTGAGTGAGTGAGTGAGTGTGACTTGAGTGATTGTGAGTGAGTGATTGATTGTGATTGTGAGTGAGTGATTGTGAGTGAGTGAGTGTGACTTGAGTGATTGTGAGTGAGTGAGTGATTGTGAGTGAGTGATTGTGATTGTGAGTGAGTGATTGTGAGTGAGTGAGTGTGATTGTGAGAGTGAGTGAGTGTGACTTGAGTGATTGTGAGTGAGTGATTGTGAGTGATTGAGTCTTGAGTGATTGAGTGATTGTGACTTGAGTGATTGCGAGTGATTGTGAGTGAGTGAGTGATTGTGAGTGATTGTGAGTGACTGTGAGTGAGTGAGTGACTGTGAGTGAGTGAGTGAGTGACTGTGAGTGAGTGACTGTGAGTGAGTGAGTGACTGTGAGTGAGTGAGTGATTGTGATTGAGTGAGTGAGTGACTGTGAGTGAGTGAGTGAGTGACTGTGAGTGAGTGAGTGACTGTGAGTGAGTGAGTGAGTGACTGTGAGTGAGTGAGTGAGTGACTGTGAGTGACTGTGAGTGAGTGACTGTGAGTGAGTGAGTGACTGTGAGTGAGTGAGTGACTGTGAGTGAGTGAGTGACTGTGAGTGAGTGAGTGACTGTGAGTGAGTGAGTGACTGTGAGTGAGTGAGTGACTGTGAGTGAGTGAGTGTGAGATCAATGGATGGACCTCTTGCTTGATCGATCAATCGCTGGCTTTTCGGTTGCACATCGCTAACCTGACCGGGGTTGGTTTGCAAACGTACTTGGTGTAGTAGCCAACTACCTAACTAACTACACTAACTAACCAGCTCCCCAGCTCCTGGGATCTTGGTGTCTGTAGGTTTATAGATGGCTTTGCAGTCTGCTGGCAGCTCCAGTCCAGCCTTGGCACCCTGGCATTGGGTGCAGTTCAGGAATCGATCGTTTTAAAACAGGTTTTGTGATTGGTAATTTTTAAAAAAAAAAATAAAAAAAAAATAAAAAATATATATATATATGGATCGATATTTCTAATGGATCAGCTTCGATCTGCGGCTGATACAGCAGATTATTGGCTGGCAACTGAGCCATTTGGTTTTTGTTTTGGTCTCTGGAACTCCCTCCTGTTTTGTAAAGAGTATTTATTTGTTTTTTTTCCCCCCCCGACAGCGAATCCTTGCTGCTCTCATCCCTGCCAGAACCAAGGGGTCTGCACCACGGTGGGCTTCGATGGCTATGAATGCGATTGCACACGGACCGGATTTTACGGCGAGAACTGCACCAATCGTAAGCAACGTTCTGGTTTGGCATTTATTTCAGATCTGCGCCAAGTTAAGTTGGTTGAACAAGAAAAAAAATGCGCTCATTTGATGCGTTAACAGCTAATAATAATAAATAATAATAATAATTAGCAGTTGATAATTATTATTAGTCGTAATTATCCTTCATTTGAATATGGTGCCTTATCACGTCATTGAGCCGTCTCAAAGAGCTTCACAGAATATATTATAAAGTAGATTGACTATGTATTTTGTGGGCGAAAAGGGGCAGCAAATTACGTACAGCAGCGTCCCCACAAACAGCAACGGATTGAGTGACGATTGTTTTTCCTCTCTTCTCAAACAGCTGAATTCTGGACTTGGGTGAAATTGTCCTTGAAGCCTTCTCCCAACACTGTGCATTACATCCTCACCCACTATTCTGGATTGTGGAACTTTATAAACAGCATATCTTTCCTGAGGGACGCCATCATGCGTTATGTGCTAACGTGTAAGTAAAATGCCTGTTGCACTTCCCTTTGTTCTTCCTGTCCTCTGAGACTCTGTTCTCTTTAAAGCATAGAGTAATTTGTAATAAATATAGCTGTATTTGATCCAGCACCTCACTGCCTTGAAACATCTGAGAGATTCACTCAATGAGTGAGATCTGAGTGTAATAATATGAATTAATACTAATATAATAATCTTTGTATTTGATATAGTGTCTTATCACATTGTTAGGATGTCTTAAAGCGCTTCACAGGATATACTGCAAAGTGAATTGATTGTTTATTTAGTTATTACGTAGTCAAATGCAAAAGTGTCAGTTTCTTCAACCCTCCTCCACCAACGACAGGATATCAAATGATCTGTCGTCTGGAGGAAGAGGAAATAAATGGAAAAGGGATTTCCCCTTCTTTTCCTCCAATCAGTGGGTCCTTTGTCACCACCCGAACCAGTGGAACAGGCAGGCGGGAGGATCTGCGGTTTAATATCTCAGCCAAAGGGTGGCATCCCTCCAACAATGTAGTGCTCTCACAACACCTCACTGGAGTGGAACGTTAGTCAGTCTGCTTTACAAACTCGTATCCTCATGTGGGGCCTTGAACCCATAACCTGTTGAGGTCTTCTGAGCTTGAACTCATTTATATATATATTTTTTATATATATTATATTATATGATATATTTTCATGTTACACTAAGTAGGTACACTTGGACAAAGACTGAATGTTTAATGCCAATATTTAGTTCTGGAGACTTCAGGTGTTGGAAGTTTACAAGAGAAAAGTTAATCTAACCTAAGACTTCTTAGTTATCTTGGCCTCACCTCTCACTACAAACATTTGGCTGCTGTGTTTATCTAAAGTTACTACACTTTGCAGAAAACTATCAAGTGCTCTGATATTTCACGCTTAAGGCACTATATGAAACACAAGGATTAATATTATTACCTCTGTATCGCACTCAAAGATATAACATTTCTAATAGACAGTATGCAGTGTTTCAACATGAATGTAACATTGATGTTTTTTCTCAAAACAGCCCGATCTCATTTGATCGACAGTCCACCTACCTACAACGCAAAATATGGTTACAAAAGCTGGGAAGCTTATGCCAATATCAGCTACTTCACCAGAACCCTGCCCCCAATCCCCGAAGACTGCCCGACTCCAATGGGAGTAGTTGGTGAGTTGATACCATTAGAGCTGTTATAAAGCGCACTGATGTCAGAGCCTTGAAATACTCAACATGCCACAGCTAGAAATCTAAGGAGAAAATTAACTGAGTTCTTCTCTGTTGATTCAAAGCTACATTGTAATAATTGGAATAGTTCTCCCACAAGTCATTGGATTTAGTATAAAAATAATAATAATAATTAATAATGATTGCATTTGATAGGGCACCTTTCACGTCAGGAGTGCTTCACAGAGGTACTATGAAATGCAGTGACTGTGAATATTGTTGGTGAACGGGCATATCAAATGATCATAATAATAATGCTTGCATTTGATACAGCGCCTTATCAGGTCGTCGAGATGTCTCAAAGCGCTTTACAGAGAGTGAATTGACTATATATTTTGTGGGTGAAACATTGTTCAATGCAGTTCAACTGGGAGATTGGTATTATCTTATTCCAGTTCAAAGGTTTAGTAATCACCTTTTTATTTCACAGGAAAGAAAGTTCTGCCCGATCCCAAGTATTTAGCGGAGCGGTTCCTTATGAGGAAGAAGTTCATCCCTGATCCTCAGAAGACCAACATGATGTTTGCCTTCTTCGCACAGCATTTCACCCATCAGTTTTTTAAGACAGACCAGAGCCGAGGAGCAGCCTTCACTAAAGGGTTAGGTCATGGGGTAAGTGCAGCACTTAATGTCTAGGTCCAGGCCTGATGAGTATATTTCTTCTATAACTAGTATTTCTAAGCCAGAAAGTTCTGGAGTCCACTGACATTTTACATTGTTCTTTAAACAATACAGGTTGACCTAAGTCATGTGTACGGAGAAACGTTAGTCGAACAATACAAGCTGAGACTGTTTAAAGACGGGAAACTCAAGTACCAGGTAGGCATGTTCCTGAATTCATTGAACTGTGTAAAGGGTAAACATCAAGGCACAAAATCAATATCCTACAAAATAACTGTTCCTTTTATAAAAGGCTCTTTGCTATTGTACCCCCCACCACCACCCCACCCACCCCATCTCCAGTTAAATTGCATAGAACAGTCTACAGAAAACTGTAAGTTCAGATCTTGAGTGTCTGCATGAATTTCTAACCTTAAAACAAATCTTAACAAGCGATACTTGCCCGCAGGTTATCAATGGAGACGTTTATCCTCCCATCGTAAAGGAAGCCCCCGTAGACATGACCTACCCTCCTCATGTGCCGGAGCACTTGCGCTTTGCTGTGGGCCAGGAATTCTTTGGTCTGGTTCCAGGCCTGATGATGTACGCAACGATCTGGCTGCGGGAGCACAACCGAGTGTGTGACATCTTGAAAGTCGAGCACCCCGACTGGGAGGATGAGCAGCTCTTCCAGACCAGCCGACTCATCCTGATAGGTGAGTGAATTGAGCTGCTCCAAATATATTGCTGTAAAGCAAACAAAATCTCAGGTCACTTTTGGCATAATAGTTTAGTTGATCCAGAGTGAGTGGTACAAATTCAGTCGCAAAAGAGAAAAAGAATTAATGTTCAGGGATTTTCCTCCATGGCTGTTTGTACAAACATTTGCTGTGCACAAATTGGCTGACTCGTTCACGAATAAAATAGCCATTACACTTTACACTGTCCTATGAAGCGCTTTGAGACGTGTTCCTGACCTTATGAGACGTTATATCAAATGTAAGGATTATTATATTGGTAGTACCTCACCTCAAGTAAAGTCAAAACGTGGGTCAGAAGGGACTTTTCAAGTAATTACTATCAAATAAGTGTTAGGGTAGTCTTTTTGTAAGCAATGTAACAGCCTTTTGTACATTTGGCAAGGTCCCAGAATACTATTGTACAGTTCTTGGAAGTGTAATATTGAATGCAATGTACTTTTTTTTGCATTTGAACAAAATTTTTTTTTAAACGCACGCAGGAGAGACCATCAAAATAGTCATTGAAGATTATGTGCAGCATCTGAGTGGCTATAACTTCAAGCTGAAATTTGATCCCGAGCTTCTCTTTAACCAACACTTCCAATACAGCAACCGCATTGCCTCAGAGTTCAACATGCTCTACCACTGGCACCCCCTGATGCCGGACACCTTTGATATTCAGAATAAGGCATACAGCTACCGGGAATTCCTCTTTAACAACACAGTTCTGCTGGAACACGGCATCTCCAATATGGTTTCTTCGTTCTCCAAGCAGATTGCTGGAAGGGTAAGGGATACTGTGTTTTCTATGCCCTTTTCCATGTCACGCTGCAAAAACAGGAAGCACCTTGCTTGCGCTCTTAACAGCAGAAGTGAAATAACCTATCAACTGCCAACTTTCAAGCAATTACTATCAATTAATTACTATCTCGTATACTCATTCTGTTAAGTAACAGATTGTAATTTAACATAGCACCACTTCCTACTGAGTCAGCTACCCTTCGATATTTAATTGAACATGTTGGATATGTTATAAGACCGATATGAAGATGTTGGAATGTATCTAAGAGTCAGTTAAGGGTCCGAAGTGTGTCTCCTTTGGCGATCTGGTTAGTTATTTGCGAATTAATGGTCCGCGGTCTTTCTGCAGGTTGCTGGCGGCAGGAACATGAATCCAGCATTGCTCAATGTGGCCATCGCAAACATCAAACACAGCCGCGAGCTTCGCTACCAGTCTATGAACGAATACAGGAAGCGCTTTTTAATGAAGCCTTACGTGTCTTTTGAAGACCTCACAGGTAAGAAATCTATAATTCGGGCTGTTAAATCTGTTAACAATGATAAAGCAAAATGCAGGCCACAGGTAGTTGGGTCTAACATTGTTCGCTTGACCTTCGATGCCTGTGCTACCCTAACCCAAATTGGCGAGATTGAAAATAACAAGGGTTCGACATGCACCTAGCTTGTGGAGTCTCAAAAAATACAGTTGTAATTTAGTGTTGGCTGCTCTGCTCTGGGTTGAGTTCTTTCATCCTTGGTCTTGGGAGAGATCTAAAGACTTCTGTCGTTGTCTTCCACTGGTTGGTTAAACCATAGGTGCAGCATTATTGCCCTGTAGCTATTGGGTTTTCCCCAAGGTCAAAATGGAATAGCCTGGTTCATCAATCTCCAGTGAAAGCCAACACCTGTTCAGAAAATCTTTGTTTCTAGATTTGCATTGAAGTATAATGCTGGTGACCATTTTGTGCATAACAACTCTCTTATTTTACAGGTGAGAAAGAAATGGCAGCTGAGCTGAGGGAACTGTATGGAGATATTGATGCAATGGAGTTGTACCCTGGTCTGATGATAGAGAAACCAAGACCTGGAGCCATTTTTGGAGAAACCATGGTCGAGATGGGCGCCCCTTTCTCTTTGAAGGGTTTAATGGGAAACCCTATCTGCTCGCCTCAATACTGGAAACCCAGCACTTTTGGTGGGAATGTCGGCTTTGACATCGTGAACACCTTTTCACTGCAGAAGCTGATCTGCAACAATGTGAAGGGTCCTTGCCCATTCGTCACATTCAGCGTTCCTGAATCTACAGCCAGCAATTCAGGTTCTCCCAGCTCCGATTCGTCCAACACAGGTCTGGAAGATGTTAATCCACAGGGTCATGTACTGCTGAAAGAACGATCAGTGGAACTTTAAAGTGGATAAATTCACCATTAGTGTGGATTCCAAAGCTGTAGAGACAATAGAGACACCAGATTTAGAGAGATATTCTTATAGGGAAGCATGAACTGGAAATGGTCATCAGGTTAGACCTGAACCTTCTACCGACCATGTACAATATATTTGCTATCCTGTGGTTAAACTTATAAATATTTCTTGTTATCAGAAGCTTAGAAAGGACCTTCAAGACTATTTTCCCTTCCCAGAAGACCTGGCCCCACACAGGAATTATACAACTCCTTGCAGACTTTCACCCTCTTAGTCTGTACTTATCTCTATGACCTTCCAATTCTATTCCGTCCATATCCCTATAACCTCTCGATCCCTAGAGCCTCCAATGCTACTCCCTCCCAATCACACCTTCAGATCACAGAAGATATCACAATTTGTCTCAACGTCTCTAGGCTAGGCAAGGGAAAGCTCAGTCTGGCTTCCAACTTGTGATCATTTTCCTAAGATCCCTGTTCTTCTGTGGAGCTCTGATGAGTGTAGGATCAAGCCCTGATGATCTCTCGCATTTAAATAACATTTCAAATTCAACATCCAGGGCCAAATGTTCAGGAGCAATTAAATGGTCAGAAACCACTGGATCTATTGTTGCGTCTTAGATTGACAAACCTATTCTCTCTCTATAAGGTTTGCACGAAATAGTTTTTTTCACATGTATGTAAAATGTTTATTATTTATTTATTTAAACCTTTATTTATCTATCTGCTATAATTATGCACTAAAGTATATTATTTATTTATGGTTATGGGGTGGGCAAAATGTAGTTGCTCTACCTAAAAAAGGATCCTTTTTCTGTAAAGAAAAACTACCCCTTTGAGACATTATTCTATATAGTGTACCTGTTGCAAAGCTCAGGATTTTTTATATTTGGAGGTTTCAAATGTTGCTGAATAAGTACAAGTTGTTTTTGTAAAGAGTAGCGGACACAGATGTCTGAGCACTGTAGGATCCTTCTGAAAGTTATTGTTCTACAATCTTTTCATTGGCATCATCAAGCTTAGTTTTGAATCAGTATCACTTAATTTTTATAAATTGATATTTTGAAAAAAAATTGCAAAAAAAGTGGGAATGGACAGCACTGGACAACTTTTTTTATTTATTTATACGTTTTAATGATTTAAGGAATTAAGCATTAATATTACAAAGCTCTCCAGACGCTTCAATAGTCTTGTTGCTGTAATAATAGCAAATCTTTCAGCATCATCATTGATCATGAGCTGGAAGTATTCTGAAATGGGCTTTGTGCAGAGATGAGTGGGGGGTGGGATAGATACCTTTTTCTATCCTCCCATCCAGGGGATAGATACCTTTGTGGAGCATGGTTTTGGCTTGAAACCTTTTAAGCAACGCTTGAGCAATTTATAGACTGCTATAAAAACAGAAGTGTCTGGGAACACTCAGCAGGTCAGGCAGCATCTATGGAGAAAGGAAAGTGGGTCAACGTTTCGGGTCCACAATCTTTCGTCAGAATTGGGGCTTGTTGGGAGGAAGAGGCTTTTGAGGGCTAACAGAGAGTGGGGGGGGCTGCAGGGCAAGGAAGGCAAAGTAAAAAATGGGGTAGAGGGATGATGGGTTAAAGAGGTGTTATATACTGTTAATGTGGTGCACCAAGCTAGACTGATCCTTTGTTGGAGGATCCTTTGTTGAACAGTTGCCCTTTTGTTTCAAAGCAATTTAAAGAAAATCCCATTCTGTCAACTCTTTGTGTTTTGAGGGGAATCCAGCATTGGGTCCCATTTTGAACTACACTGTGCTGTGTATTGTGCAGTGTGAACCACTGCTTGTTGCACTGAAATTGTATGTAATATTTACAGCCCATTTGTATTGGGTGTGAGTAGAGAGAGTCTCAAGTTTGTACTGTAGATGCCCGTGAGGGTAATAGATAGGAAAAGAGAATTCATCACATAAAGACTCCTGAGTACTGTGCAAGGCCCAGGCATCACATGGGTATTCATGAGTACTCTGTTACCAAAAAGGATACTGAGATGTAGGGGACACAGAGGTGTGCCTCAGTAATATGAATGCAATGGTTTCCTACTTAAGGGAAGGGGCATTGTATCTCTGCCCCCTTCTTTGACAAATGCAATGCAAAGTCATTGATATTTCATTATTGTAATTATTAAAGATTTTCAGATTTTCTTACTGTAAAAAGGTATTGTTTGACTACTGTATTGCTGTGTAGAATAAATAAAAAACGATGTTTAAAGCAAAATGGAATCTCAGTCTCATTCCGAAGCGATTTGGGGTGCAAATTAATAATAATAATAATTCTTGCATTTGATATAGCGCTTTTCACATCGGGAGGACGTCTCAAAGCGCTTCACAGAACACACTGTAAAGTGAATTGACTATATATTTGTGGGCAAACGCGGCAGCCAATTGCGCACAGCAATGTCCCACAAACAGTCGTAGATTGAAAATGACCAATTTATTATTGTTTATGGTTTTGGAGGGATTATTATTAGGCGTGTGGAGTAAGGAAACTTGCCCAAGGTTTCGCCCTCTGCCTGGAATTGAACTCGGGTCTCTCGCTTGCAAAGCGAGTGCTCTAACCACTGAGCTACAGGACTCCACTCCAAATTCTACTATCTGGGCATGGTTAGAGCACTCACAAGCGAGTGGGGACACTGCTGTTCAAATTGCCTGCCCTGTTTGCCGACAAATACACAGTCACTACACTTTACAGGCAAATCCTTTGAAGTGTTTTGAGATTTTGCGATGATGTGATAAGGCACTATATCAAATAGAAGGCTTATTTCGGCACTGGACATATCAAGTTTAATCATGCATACAACACAGACAGAGGCCATTTGGCTCAGAAAGCCTATGTTAGTGCTAGTTTTCCCACTAAAGCTATAGTTAAAAACTGTACTCATAATTTCATACTAACTTCTCAATAACTTTTTTTGTTTCCTTCAAATACACATCCATTTCCCCTTTCAAATGTTCTTGCCATTAAGAATATTCTCAGGCAAGCTTTTCCGTTACTTGTCCAACTAGGACTACCCTACCAATAGGGCTTTAGTTTGTAAGGTTAACAGTATCTGAATGGGATGATTCCATGCCCCTCTAAGTCCTACTGATAAGCTTTGACTTCCACCTAAACAGGTAGAAGGAACCTTGGTTTAACCTTGTGACGTTAGGCAATTTTACTTAATTTATTTGTCATTACAGTTTGACTCATGCATGAACCAGATACATTGATCCACACATGGCTGACATGGATTTACCCCCACTGTAACAGCACTAATATCCAGAAACGGTAGTCTAAAGGCAATCTCAAATATGTATTTTAAGGGCAAAGACTATTGAACCAACTATTGATGCAAAATCTGGTTTGTTTTCTAGGTATGGTTTAGAATTTTATGCTTTGCGTAATTTCCCATTCAAAAGTTTACAATTACAGGAACTGAGATCTTTAATCTTTAACCTTTAATCTTTAATGATAACACCTTGTCAATAGTTTGGTTAAGTGAACTGCAGATAGCTTGCAACATTACTTAATATAATCTATTTCATCTGCTTTCTTCAGCAAATATTATTTCTCTTCATTTGCAATAATGGTCTGGGAAAGTACAATAGTTGATGCAAAATCACTAGAGAAGTGCAGAGGAAGAAACTCATTTGGTCTGATAGCTCTTTCACCCCATGGCTGTTTATGGGTCACTGCTATGCACAAATTGGCTTCCGTGTTTGCCCACAAAACTCAAAGTTTGAAAAAGAGGTCAGGCTTCTTACCGTCAATGTGGGTCAATCTATAACTTCAATATCTTCAAACTGAATTCACAAAATGGGAACCAGTTGAGATCTGAATCGATACTCATTGCTGTTTGGTTCCAGAGGTTTCGATTTCAATCAAACAAAACAACAGAGTCATTTTGTGGAAAGGAAGTGGGGCACAACTTGTAAACTGAAATGTTTTGAGAAACTGCAGGATGAGACCAAAGCTTACCAGAAAATATTTTTTTTTTTTACCAGCCTTGCCTAAACAGTTACTCAGCACTGGCGGCCAATAATAATAATAAATTTGTATAATACGTATAATAATAATACTTACATTTGATATAGCACCTTTCATGTCAGGAGGACGTCTCAAAGCTTTATGGATTAATGAAGCTTAATGGATTCTTTTGAGCTATTTTCACCCACAAAATACACAGTCACTCCACTTTACTTATTCTGTGAAACACTTTGAGACATCTCAATGATGCAAAGATTATTATTTGTATTATTATTCCCTTCTTGCAATTCTGAATGAACCAAATCTCAGTGAATTTTTTGCACTGCAAAAGAGGCGCTGACTCCAACCTTTATTTATCCCTACTTCATTATAATATAATAATAATAATAATCCTTGCATTTGATATAGCGCTTTTCACGTCGGAAGGATGTCCCAAAGCGCTTCACAGAACACACTGTAAAGTGAATTGACTGTATATTTGTCGGCGAATGCGGCAGCCAATTGCGCACAGCAATGTCCCACAAACAGTCGTAGATTGAAAATGCCAATTTTATTATTGTTTTTGGTTTTGGAGGGATTATTATTAGGCGTGTGGAGTAAGGAAACTTGCCCAAGGTTTCGCCCTGCCTGGAATTGAACTCAGGATGTTAATTGGGAATGAGGGTAGAACAACCAGCTGAGGCAGGTTGATACTTAACTATTATTATCATTATTATCAGCATTATCAGTATTATTATTATATGGAGACCTTGGCTGATACTCCAGTGCTGTGCTCGAAGTCTTTGATTGACACGATCGGCTTGTTGCATGGAAAATACATCACTGCGATCTGAACATCCCATGTTTCTTGGGAAGAGATGAAGAAAATGTAAATCTGTTTCTTTAACAGGCTGTTATTATTGTTATCACTGATGGCTTACAATTTTAAAGATAAACTATTGGATTCAGCCTGTGTGAGAATGTTGAGCAATTTGATACCTGAGCTCTAATAGATTTGGCAGGTTCCCTGCATTAAAATGTTTATAATATGCATGAATGAGCAAGCAAATTCACTGTTGACCTTACCATTAAATGTCATAGGAACAGGAGTAGGCACTCAGCCGATTGAGCCTGTTGCGTCATTCTATTAGATTGTGGCTGATCTATACCTCAAATCCAATTACCCGCCTTTGTTCCATATCCATTGATACTCTTACATGGAATCGCAGGTACTCAGTGATATACTCTTCATGTAACAAGCAAATCATGCTAATCAAAGAGGTTTGCGCAGTGACTTGGTGGGATTTAAATCACATCTATTTCAAACTCATTCAAGCAAATGAGGACCCTGAAAGTTGATTTCATTGGAGTCCCTATGAGTTGGCGCAATGTACTTTTAGATTCTCTATCAAGGGTATTAA